ATCGATACATATGATGCCTTGGCATTCTGCAGGTTGTACAGCGGATGTAAAGCTGGGGAATCGACTCTTTCCCGACACGATTGAGCTTCTTTTCCTCCTAGCTTCTAGGATCGTTGCCAAGGATTTCTGTGGTGAGAACTCTTCTCGAGCATTTCACTAACGTTTCCTTCTTATCGCTGTATAGCCAAAGGTTGATGTGGTATATGAACATCTGAGTGTGTGAAATTGCAAGAGCTGTTTGAGTTGCTAGGTTCTTTTGCATAACATTTTCAATTGGGGACTATTAAATGTTTGTATAGATACAATCTTCTACCTCTGGTTCGGATTTCGTTCCAATATTGTAACTTTTCTCCATTGCTAATTCCATTGTTCGACCAAATGAATAGTTTTATCTTATTGCAGCTTGTGAGAATTTTTCCTACTTGTGATTCCTTACACCTAAAGGAAGTAGTAATGTATGCACATATTTGTTTATATGCTGTACAAACTAAAGATAATCGGCTTCGAGCGAGCTAACACAAGAGGGAACTTTTCTTCTTATAGATGGGAGGTTGTGCATAGGCCTAATGATCACCCACCTAAGATTTAATAGAATTTTCTCATCACTCGAACATTATAAGGTTGGTTGTTCAATGAGATAATCTCAAAAGAATCTCGTCTACGATTTAATAAACTAGAGTTTTCTTGACACTCAAATGAATGTATATATATATATATATATATAGAAGTATGAAAGGTTTAACGTACATAAATCGTGCTAGCACTACCAAAATCATGTGGAGAAGTTGGTCATATATAGAGCTTCTTTAGAAACAATAAGATTGTTACTAGATCTGAAAACGATTGCACACTACGAGTGAGTTTTTATATATTTATGCTTCATTCTGTAGAATGGCAAATACATAGCATACTTATTTCAGTGCTATAATTTATCCAAAGTCACCTTGATGTACTCCGAACGCCTACGTGATGGCTAATGAAGGAATTGGTGCCTTCTCTCTAGCTCGATTGAACCGTCATCCATTGGTTACCATATTAAGCAAGGGTCTCATTTGCAATCGATATTTCCTGCATGTGGAAAAGTAGGCAGTGTCAAACTTGATTAAGCACATGTCGACGAGCCGAAGAACAGACAAGACAAGTTCGTCTTGATTGAAAAATCTATGCCTAAATATATTAGTTTAAATTTCAAAGAATTTTCCTTATTACTAAGATTGTTTTGTCTTCAACCACTACCCACCAAGAAAAAGAGAAAAAGACCCAAGAAAACAAACACAAATCTCTAACCAAACACAAGTATTTGGGATATGAGAAGAAATGCAAAGCCTAGAAATTAAACTTGTATGGCCAACAAACTTCAGTTCTCTCATATAAGCATTTCGACATGTGAATGTAAACCGTCTTAAACTGTCTCTCATATACCACTAGACAAACATGATTCAGACAGACCAACTAGCTTAGAAGGTCATTCGGTACGAAGCACAAAAGCATAGCGGGTAGAGAAAAAACTTAGACAGTTACCAGTCCACAACTATGCATGAAAGCCAGAGGTAATGTGTTCTTTTCTTCGGTTTAAGTTGCAGTATAAGTTAAAAATTGGATATGCTAATTTTGGTTGGTGGGTAGCGGATATAAACATGTACAGACAAGCTGTGAGATCCCACATCGATTGGGGAGAAGGAAACACCCTTTATAAGGGTGTGGAAACCTCTTCCTAGCAGATGCATTTTAAAAACCTTGAGGGAAAAGTCGAAAGGAAAAGCCTAAAGAGGACAATATCTGCTAGTAGTGGAATTGAGCCGTTACACAAGCATGAAATTATTTTTTTTAGAAGATCATTTCAACATTTGAGAGTAAACTGTTCAGCGTATTTAAATGCAAAAACTTGCCTTCAATTTTGCTGAGCTTGAGAAGATGCATCTTGATGTAATTGCATGTCCGTGATCAAAAAGCCATCCTACTTCACAGCAAGTATCCCCACTGTCTTCACTTTCTTTAAGGGAACACCATAGTTGCTTGGGAAGTACCTTGAGTTCTGATTCAGTTCTCACCGACTTTTGCACATTGTCAGCCAAAAGTTCTTGTATAACATTCTGCAGTCAATTTTCCAATACATATTCAAACAGGAAACGGAGTTATATTGTGCCTATTAAATTCACTTTAGCATGGTTACAGTGTCACCATATAGACTAAATGTCTCGAAAAAGAAATGGAATGGGGAAACTGTTAGAAAAGTAAACAACAATTTGCTCAAGGATTACTCCAAATATGCTATCAAAATTTTGGTGAATGGATAGATGCTGTACAAACTATAAGCTAGTTCCCACTGATAATTGACCAGACAAACACTTCGGTACACATTTTTCCATCGGTCAAAAAAGTAAGGTTCGAGACCTCAGCTTAACACAAAACTTGCCATCATAATTTAAAAAATATTGGGGTGTGGGCAAATATCATTAGAAAAATGTTGTAAATTGTAATCAATCATTCAAGAGAAATCACCAATGCATAAAAGTCACAAAATTTGTTGATATTTTCTGAAAATTCATAGTATCAATGATTTGGTCGATGATGCCAGGCAATCTTTTGATTTCATACTTATAAGCGAAAGATTAAAATTTGACTTCTAAGAATTTTAAGGAGAAGAAAAACGAAAGTTATGGATCAACACCAAAGCATTAGGCAATGCAAAACTAAAAAATGGTAGCATCGAACTAAAAGCTGAGATTTTAGGATCACTTCACCGTGCTATAAAAGATGATCAAAAGCAAAGGAAGATTATATAACTTACAATCTGAGAACCATCAAAACGGGCAACAGAGACAGGACCCTGCCATGAACCAACAACCTCAGAAGCTTTCAAGGCAGCTGTAGAAGCAAATGATGAGTCTCGGATGGCACATCCACCAAGCTGTTCTCCGTTTCTGAATGGTCCATACCACTGCTCGCAGAAAACTTTGATACTCTGCAACACTAGCCGTGTGCCTTCGACTCGGACAACCTGAACAACCCTCACACGGGATTCACGATCTTGAGGACTAACCAGGCAATGCTCCAACTCCATTAACTTATAAGAACCCCCAACCTTAACCGGCCAAACAACTACATAACATCCACTACGTTGATACGCAAAGGCAGTCACTTCATCATTTGAACCAATTCCATTTCCAGCATTTCTCTCATCAATGCTGTAACGGGTTGCAGCATCGGCTTCACATCCCACTGTAGGAAGTAGCTTTATTGTCTTGTACATGAAAGAGGGCTTCTCAGGTTCCGCAAGAGTGGGGCACTGAGTCTGCCAGTCGAAAACCTTAACCTCCCATTCTCTATAAGCATCGGGGACAACGAATTCTGGAAGTTCAATTGGCGTTCCTCCAGAAGAAAAATCCGCACCATATCCATCCCACTCGCCAGAGACGTTTTTGGCAAAATCAGACCACCCTTAAAACGAATGGATACACAAAATAAATCGTCTGTTTTCCAAATATCCAACACTCAAGCCAAATTTTGTGTCAAAGATTTAAAAGAATGAAAAAAAAATACCACAAAACACGGATGGATTCAGATAATTAGAAACCAAGCACTGAAAATCAGTCAAACTGACGTTGCAAGTCATTCCAATAAGAACTAATGATGAACACGAAATAAAACAGTAAAAGAAAATTATTCCAACAACACTTACCACTACCAGGAGCAGAACTGGAACTCTGACTTTGAACATGAGCATCGGATAGAGCAGTTTTAGCGACGACGGAAGAGGGCGCCGAAGAAAGAGACGGAGCGGCGTTTATCCCGATGTTCGTAGACAAACGACGATTGCAATGAAGAATACGCTGCGATTGAAGCCGTGAGAAGCAGCGATGGTGTAAAAGTCCCGGAGAAGAAACGACGGAGGACGACAAGGCTCTGTTCTGACAGATAACACTACTAGAAGAAGCGAACGCCATTGAAATCCTAACAAAGAAACCTTCAATACTTGCTTGTGATTAGATGAAATCTATGAAACTCTCCGGTTTCCTCAGCCCCAGCCTCGCCGGAGCAGAAGAGAAATCGGAGAATTCTGGAAGGAGAAGAGAGAACCGGAGAAGGCAGTCTGAGAAGAATATTCGTGGAAGAAAAATCGCGAAAAAAAATAAATAAATGGAGATGAAAATGCGAAATTGAGTTCAGTTTGGCATGTGAACTGTTCGCTATAAAACGACGTCGCTTTGGGCTATCCGTCAACCACATGCTGAACTCGTCTACGTGTCAGTCGGAGGACGTTCCACTGGCCCGGCCCAATCAGCTGTCGTTTTGGACCAATCTGGCCGAAAAAGTTCATTTAAGAAAAAAAAAAAAAAAACTAAAGGTATTTTAATTTTATAATATAGTCCCTAAATTTTATAATATTATATTTTAATTTTATTTCGAAGTGTTCGCATTATGGTCCAAAGTGGAGATTAAACTCAAATCACAAAAATATAATATTTTATATTATAATCTAAGGATTAAATGAAATTATCTTAAAATTTATATATATATATATATATTTTTTTTTATTCAATAAATCTTTAAACTTTTAATTTTGTGTTCAATACGATCATGACTAAAGAATAACGTATCTTAACTTTATCCATTTACATGTCAGTCTTATAATAAGAACTTTTAGTGTATTAAATAACACGTCTTATGGTATTATGTCTTTGACGTATATATCAAGTAATGACATAAGCCATTTTTTGTGTGTACAAGATATGCACACTTGTTAGTTTTTTCATTTAGTTACCTAATTTGCAACTATACCCTCCATGAGTATAATATAAATCAAAATTAATCAATTATCTAGTATAAAATAACCGTAATCTTGAGTATATTTTAAATTGCTCAACCATTGTTCTAAACTTGGACCATTTGTATATCGACTTAACATACTTATTGTAAATCGACTTAGCCACGACATAGGTCACTATTGTAGACCGTGTGTCATTGAAGGAGTGATTCGTTGGTGCATAACGAAAGAGGAGGGGAAGAGGGCCATAAAAATTTCCTAAAAAAAGTTTCATTTTGACGAAAAATTAGGTCAATCCATCCAACTAACCCAAAACTAGACTATTCAAATGTAAAACTCTTGGGTCGATACAGTCGAATAAAGGGATAAATTACCTCTCCAAGGTCGAAGGTTCAATTACCTCTCCAAGGTCGAAGGTTCAATCCCTCACTCCAACATGAACACGACCACGACGTAATTTTAAAAAAATCAGTACCTGTAAGCGCTTCCCAATGATAGGAAAGTAAATGACAATCATCCATAGCTTTTTCCAGCCAAGGCTGTAGCCAGAAAGAAAAATGTCTTTATAACAGAAATAAAGCACCAATTTGTGAAATACGAATGTAAATTCCCTCTGTTTAAACAGGGCTACGACCTAACAACATTCACAAATATCTCTATTATGCTAGCATGAACTATGGATCTCCCTCCTCCCTATGGAAGCAAAAACCATAACAGTTACGAAAACATGTCTAGACGTGTAAGCTTTGTGCCCGAAATACGAAAGGATTGAAAATAAATTGTCGCCTAATACCGAGTTCATACAAATACCATTGTCATCACATGTGTATTATCATAGTAGCCTGCTCAGAGACTTGATCAGCAGTTTTAAATTCCGTTTTGTCGCCTCATCACCCGTGAACCCAAGAAGTTCGGAGCTCAAACTCTGAAACGAGATAGGAAGGATAAACCAAAGAGGGAATTAGAAAGATGTAGTTATCAAGAGCAGTGTTTTAAAAAGTCGACTGGAGCGTGCGCGGTGCCTCGCTTCTTTGAAGCGCAGCTCCCTTAATGAAGTCCCGTTTATTGTGCTTTAGTGCACCTAGAGCTTTAAAAAACACTGATATTCGGATAAATCAAGAGGAGTTTCAGCAATTAAGATCTCACCTCTATGTTCTTCAAAGTATGAATTAGCGTATAAATGGACTTCTGAAGCAGTTCTGTGTTTTCCGGGGTCATAATTGACGCATGCACGCTTCTGTAAGAAAGTCTCGATAAGCATCCATCGTGTAGAAGGAATTCATAATAATTGACAATATTATTATCTTTTTAGACTAATCTCTGTTGAAAATTGTGAAAGAACCGAAGAGATTATAGTCCATTAAGAAATCAGAGTTCATCAACATTAAAATTCTAATATCAGAATTCAGGAATAGTTCACCTTAAATCTTCTGTGGCATGTGAAAGACTGCTAGTTAAGTTTTCAACCTCCTTTATAAGACCACTGTCACGAACCTCAGCAAGCAAAGGTTGAACATCTTCAGCCATGGCTTGAATCTGAGACATCACTACATCAAATCAAAACAGTGTGCATGAGAAGATAGTTAGATCGGTGGGACTATATATCGAACTCACCAAGATAGACCGTAAAACACGAACCTAATACATTTTTAATACAAAAAATTAAAGCTTTCGAGGAACTTAAAGCTGTAAATTCTTCGTTCTTTTCAGAGGCCAATAACAGAATACAAGCAAACACCCATTTTCTAGCCGATGCAACTCCTTATTTATGTCAGAACTAAACATGTTTTGATAATATTTACTGTTTTAGGAATTTTTTTTGAGCTACAATCAAGATCCTACCTACTATAATGGGCAATGTAAACTGTAACAGCTTGAGGCCACTACTAGTAGATATTGTCTGCTTTGGTCTGTTAGAATCGCCGTCAGCCTCACGGTTTTAAAAAGCATCTACTAGGGATAGGTTTCCACACCTTTATAAGTAATGCTTCGTTTCCGTCTCCAACCGATGTGGGATTTCACAATCCACCCCCCCTTGAAGGCCCAGCACCCTCGCTGGCACGCCGTCCAGTGTCTGGCTTTGATATCACTTGCAACAGCCCAAGCCTACCGCTAGCAAATATTATCCATTTTGGCCCCTTACGTATTACCGTCAACCTCACAGTTTTAAAACGCATCTACTAGGGAGAGATTTCCACACCCTTATAAGGAGTACTTCGTTCCGCTCTCCAACCGATGTGGGATCGCACATAAACTGTCTAATATTTTTACTCCCTATGACTATACCTCCATTGTAAATTGGGAAGGTCTTTCATAAAAATCATGGATTTTACATTCCTTTTGTAAATTTCATGAAATTGTCTCTTCTAAAAAATAAATAAATAAATAAGGGTCAATGTCAAAGCCAAGCCTAACATGTAATTAGATTCCATGGAATTACCGATATACAAATACTTCCTAGTCCTTACTGATTATTTTTTTGAGAATCCTTCCATCCTCTTCAAGAAATCTGTAAGCATCCCATCGAGTTGCCAACAAAATACATTTTTACAACATTTAAAAAATATGAACATACATAACTTAAATAACTATTTGTCCAGAAACCAAGATAGAAAATAAAGATTAAAGCATGAAATTGTAAGGAGTCACACCTTTAAAAGCAAAGGCCTTGCTTCTTCAACAACCAAAGCAACTCGTTGGGCTAAAGAAAACGTATTGGTAAGCCCTATTTCCTCCGCTTCGCGTCCAAGCCGAGTGAATATTCCAACTAATGCATCCAAACTTACCCCTTGATATCCCTTCATTTTATGCTTATCACATAATATTAAGCCTTCTTTAATACATTTGGAGTCGAGTGGTCCCACTGAAGGCACTGGAATAGGATCCCTGGGAGTAATGTCAATCATCGTCTCCATAAGAAGACCAGACTGGTTTACTTCAACCAATGAATTAAGGGGTATAATGATTTTATCATCTTCAACCTGAAAAACGGCAGGTAAATCTTAGTTTGGTCACAAAAAAACGGTAACCCTCTTTGTTAACAAGCCTATATAGACTACCTTTTAGTTCATTAAAATATCTATCAAGACTTGATAGTTTTGATTAGATAATCAAAGTGACTTCTAAAACTCTAAAAGCAATCAAAGTGCTTCTAGGAGAAACAATTGTTAATGCTTCTTCCCAAAGTATTAATAGAAAAAGTGCTTTCGTTTAAAAGCTTTTCTTTTTCAAAAGCGATCTCAAACACATTCTTAGTAAAATAAAATACGACGTTACAGTCAATCAGAGAAAGGGTATGAATTAAAAGCATACCTCAACAACAGTCTCAATACATCTCAAGGAAGGGTTAACACGAATGACATTGCCAACAGTAACTCCTCTAATTCTTACAGGAGTTCCAGTTGAAATACCACAAGCCTGAGCAAACTCAAAGACAGCCAAGTATTTTCTAAATTTAGACCGCAATTGAAAGCCTCTCAACCAAGCCAAACTGAGTGTAAGAAGTATAGCACCTGACACTAGGAACAACCCAACCCCACCTTCCCATATGCTCCTTCGACCGAACCCGAAATTACTCAATGGATGCAATGTTCTCCTCCATAAAGTACGAGGAACATCAAGAAAAAGGGCAAGCGGATTCCTTCTTTCTGAAGATGAGGGTGGCTGACTATGTCCAGCACCAGCAGATGTAGCCTTTATCTTCTTTACTTTGGATTTTAGACCAAATGGGAGATGATAAGACAACCTATTTGAAGATCTATGTGGAAGGGTAACCAAGGATGAGGGTAACGCCACAGAAAATGTTGCAACCTGCACACAAGTATCTCCCACCATTTTTTCACAACAGCAACAGTAAAACAAGATTTAAACAACTGCCTGTGAAAACAATACAATTTCGGAACTATCAGCAGGTAATACAACTTCAAAAAAAAATTATTATATTCTATTATTAAATTGATATAGAAAAAGAAGAATTTTTACAAGAGCACCAAGCCATCGACATGTCCATGTCCAGTCCAATGATCAAGAACATTATCCATGAATCAAAGCAGAGAACATTAGCCATGAATACACCTATGACCAACAAGAAGCATAAAACCAATCCAGACAACCCAAATTTCTCCCAAGTAAATTTTCCAACCAATTCAAAACAGCTGAAAATTTTCCTTCCTACGACGGCACCCCGCCACAACGCCCACCCCACCGCCCCAAAGTTATCTCCCAATATGATATTCGCCATTTAGCTTTAGTATTTCCTTCAAGTTAACTTCCCTTCCTAGTCTCTTTTCTCGCATTTTTCAGAAAGAAATGGACATTCAATTCACTCCCCCACTGCTGCTAACAATCATATTAGTAGAATTTTCAGATTCCAGAATTAAAAGAAAATAGTAGTAAGCCTTCTACACTTATTATGATCGCTTAATACACTAACATCAGTACCGAACACGAATCACAGAAATCCACATAAAACATCAATCAACGAATGGCATCCTCATCAAATCAGCTAATCCTAGATGTAAAAAGACGTATTCTCCAAAAACACTTAAAATAAACGTACATGAAAAATCCAAAAATAATAACCAAAAAATTATTCACAGAACAATCGAAGCAAGTATACAAACAACGAAATCCAGAAAATGATAGCAGAGCAATTATAGCACAAAATACGCACCTAGAACTCGTGATTGCAACTATTGAAGAGATAGCATTCGGTCAACAATTCCGACCAGCTATGGTATAAGAATTAGACCCCAAAAATCCATGAAAATGGAGAATCGGAAAACTGATTGAGTAGTACCATTGCCGAACAGATGGAGTCAGATGAGCGTTCTCGTAGCTGAATTCAGGCGCTGTTACCAATTTAACCCTCGAAAGTTCCGACCCGTTTGAATGTACGACACTTGGGAATTGGGCCCTTATTGGGCCTATTTCCTTGTATTTTGCAAAACTACCAAAATTGCCCTTATATCTTGAGAAAAAAAAAATAATAGTTTAACATTTCAATTTTCTTTCAATTTTATTAAATTAATCTCAAGTAAAATAATTTTTGAAAATTTTATTCTCTATTTAATTTTAGCTAAATCACCCAATAATTTTAATTAAAAAAAAATTTAAAAATCTCTATAAACTCCATAACTCATTTACACATCAGCATTTTAAACAAAATCAATAAATTTAAATTAAAAAATCAGGCGTAAAAAAAAAATTAACAATGTTTTGAGCAAAAACTTATTAGCAACATTTTTTAGTTTAGGGTTAAGATTGTAAAAGTGAAGTACAATAAGATGAAATTAAAAGTTAGGTTAAAACTGATTTAATTAAATAATAAAAATTAATAAAAATAATTAAAAGTGGATATTATCCAAATAGGGAAAAAAAAAAGAATAATAAAAAATTAATACAAATAATTAAAAGTGGATATTATCTAAATAGGAAAAAAAAAAAAAAGAATAATAATAAACAACTCAAAAGTTCCCCCTTCCTCCGCATCTTGTACTTCAGCTGTTTTGTACCTCATTTTTATCTACCTTTCACCATCAACACAACAGAAGAATTTGGCCACTGCAACCACCTTTCCTGTTGCATTCGACTCGGTTTCCGACATCGGAGATTGAATATCGAACCGATTAGAATCGGTACTATTTTAAACGAGACCCGTCAAAGGCCAAGGCCATTGAAAGCTCTGCATAAAGAAGAGTGTTCATCAAGTCACAGCTTAAGGACACTAAAAATGTCCTCAGACTAATTACTTTCAAGTTATATCGTAACCTTACCGTCCCGGTAATGAAACCCTGTAACTCGAGCGAGTAAGTTCAGAGAGATAGAGAGAGAGGGAAGTAGAGAAGAAATAACTCTACTAGAAGTAGTTCAGCTCCCCAGACTATGAGGCTGTCCTTTTCTTCTCCGGCCATTCTAGTTTGCCTCTTGCTGTGCCAGAGTGTGACCTATTTGTAAATACTAAATGTTTCAATGGCACAAGTTTTTTCAATCTCATGATGAAGATGTGATATGAACATATCAATATCGTGCCCGTTAATGAATTAGAAAACTAGTTAGAGTATATTCGAGGCATGTTTGGAAGGGATTTGAAATAGTTAAAACTACCCTTCGAAATCAATTTAATGTTTGGTTTTACACCTTTAAACGCAATTTTTATGTCGTCAAATATAATATTAAAAGATTAAGATTATATTTAGGAGTCATCTTAAGTGATTTTAACCATTTCAAAATCATTTCTAAACATGAACATGTAATCAAACTGACAATAATGCATCTTCTACTGAAGGAAAATGCTATTAAATTTACTTACATAAGTTTACGAAAACGCTTCATACGAACTTCCTCAAACACAATATCAACTGCTTCATTTCGCCCCGGGATGAATTCGGGTGATTCAATTCTGGTTGCTCCGCCATCAGACTGCCCAAAGACCAACTTCTAACTCAGACAAACAAAATCCCTTTGTTTCAGTCATCAGCAACTGTTCAAGTCTCTTTGTTCCACTGCCAACATGATCACACACAAATATGTTTCAGATCCTATTCTATATTCATGCAAAAATTTAATGGCCGAAATGAAAATAAAGCATATACATAAAGTGGAATAACAACGTACGAGTTTTTTTTTACAGAACACGAAAAAAGAAATCATTAAATCGTCATACCTCTTAGAAAGAGAAGGTATTAACTCCTCACAAACTTGAATAATTACTGAAGCGCCTCCCTTCGCCTTAATACGAGTCTGTTCAACTTCTGACAATACAAAATGAAATTAACAAACTTAGTGTATAACTAAAATAATTTTCTATCAGGGAAAAAAATCAACTTATTACTAACTAGTTATGCTTTTCTTTGATTTGTCAACCTAATACGTGCCTCAACCCTATTGTCAACTAGGCCTTCACAGGTTCTTTTCATGTAATATACAATAAATACAGTAGTAAAGGCCTCAAATCAGCCTCCAAACAAAGGCATCTATAATTTAAGAACACATACCAGGAAGGTCTTCTTCAACTGAAGAGTTGCAACTTAGATATAAATTAGCGCACCAATCTAACTCTATGCCTTCACTCTTTGCATACTCTTCTAGCAAGCGGCCAATGAAATTATAAGTAATCATGCTAGTTTCATCACAAGCTTCTTGAACCACAAGGTACTGATTCTTAAACGTGCTTGGTTTACTAGGCTCCATCTGAGGTATTGGACACGACATGTTCAAAGAAGTTAAACAGGTTGATTTTGAGGTATAACTCCTAGTGCGATTATCCAACAAAGTATTTGGCGTGTCTCTGTTCCCTACTTGTTGGTTAGAAGACAGGTTATATGTCTCTGGCTGAACTTTGGATTCCATGAATGAAGGGTGGTAATTAAAAGAAGAATCTAAAGAACCCTCCCTAGTAAAAGGGGTAGGTTTAGAACATTCGAAAGGCTCCACATCTGCATTTTTCAAGGACGCCTGACTAGGGGACAAGATATTCCCCACTGATGCATAATCCAGATTGGCTGGCATTGATTCCCCCATACCTTCAACAAAAACAGAGTGGGGTCCATGGTCTTCTTGAGGCAAGCCATCAAAAATATTATCGTCGTTATCACCATAATCATCGTCACTCTCTTCTAACTCTTCCATATATGCATCAGCAAAGTCATGTTCAAAGTCACAGTTAGGTAGTAAGTCCCAAACTACTTGTTTCATCTGAGCACTCAGACTAAATACATATTCAACCTCCTCTCCAATTTCATCCTGTGAGAGAACTGAATGTGGAGCACTTCGAGAATCTGTTTTTATCATAGCTAAAGCTTTCAAAAGAGACTTTGGCACAGTGTCCATATCACTACATTCAAAAAGATAGTCTGTTAACATCCTCTTAATACCAGCTCTTAGACACCTATGAGACACTTCAGCATCAGGATCCAACAAAAACTTTAACCGTTTGAGCTTCTCAATGTTGCAATTCTTTCTAACAAACCATATGGCTTTTACTATTTCATTGTGCAAGGTTTTTATTTGGGGTGAGAAGGGATAAAACTCAATTACGGACAAATTATGACGACCTGGTACTAGTTTGAGTGATAAATCAGCCACTGCCATGGCCTTTGCAAGTGATTCTTGCAATTCACCTCCTTCACCAAGCGATGAAAGCATCTTCTTACTAATTTTTGTAAGAAGATTAATAAGACGATCACGACCCCACCCAGGCTTGCGATATTTTATCTGAGGCAAAAATCGAACTCCTTCAAGTTTTCGACGCATAGCTAAGAGAACTTGGGTGGGCATGTCTCCTAATCCATAAAGTACCTGTGATGCAGCATCATGGAATGATGTCGTACTGGATGTCGAAGTTGCTGAGCGTATTCTTCGAAAATTTGTTGTGTCATTGAGAAGTTGAGACAATCGTTTAAAAGTTTCCAATTGATAGCAATCTTGACTTTTCCTTCCTAGAACTTTTGGAATAAATTCTCTGATGACCCTTTTTAGCTTCCAGCGAGTTTTTTCCAATTTGACCGAGTCTTCTGAAAGTATTTTAGCAAGAGCGTAAAGTCCCCTGGTGCTCAGATCATCGAGACATGACAAGATGAATTTTCTAACTTTGCAAGTATCTAATATTTGATCAGCTCGAATACCAAGATGCCTTGTTTCAATATTTAACACTCCAAATGCTTCTTCAACTCTTGTTTTGACAGTCCCAAAGAAAACCTGAAAAGGAGATTGAAAATGACAAAGCACAGACAATAAGGTTTGCATTTTCAAAAAAATGGATAATTATATAAATCAAATTGTAAAGTTGGGACTTAAATCTAGCGTAGTAGAGAAGGATCCAAAGTTATTTGAGGAAAAAAAGAGGAAGAATTGTTTACTACTGCATTCAAATTTGTTCGAAGTAAAGTAATCGAGGGAAGGAAAAAGTGGAAAATCTAACTTACATCATCTTCTCTCAGCAACGATTCAGGCAAGTTTCTAACAAGAAAGCCACGAATCATTCATTAGAGTAAGGAAACCAATGTACTAATTTCATATATGATTAGTCAAATACATCTTCAGTTACCGTTTATTTAAAATGTCTGAATGATCAGAATACTTCGGTCCAGATACAGAAGTAGGAAGCCCCAGCAGCCATCTGCATACATTCAACAGATTCAGTTCTTCCAGAAAATCCTACTTACAAACTCCCTCATGAGTTCACAATGAAATACAAAAATTCTAAAACACCATCTCCAACTATAAATTCAAAAAAGAGAATCAGATATCATTCAAATCCAATCCGTTTGTTAGCCGTTCATCCAAAATCACATGCCATAACCATCAATGATATTTATCAATGCCACACTCCAAACTTATTGAATCCGTTTACAGCAAATCGGAAACTGCAGCATCAACATCCAAACGACTAAAATAAACAAATGCCGTCCGAGCACTGCATTTATATGCAAACATTTAGCAACTAAACTGAATTCAAACAGAGAAATATGTTGTCAAAATTCTCATATCAATAATTAAAAAACTTCCTTATATATTTTTCTGATTCCTCCACACATCGTAAGAACAGAGCGCAAGCAAACAGAATCGTAAGCCGATTACGTAATAAATCCAGACCTTCTTTTCGATTTCAAAAGCTCCTCTTGACGACGAAGCTGTGACAAAAGTGCTTGAGAATCCGTCTGATAAAACTCCATGGTGCTTGGCCAATGTTTCAGTCCAAAAGGGTTTTATTTACAGAAGAATAGGAAGAAGGTGACGTAATAATCTAGCGAAATTAAAATCCGAAAAGAAAAAAAGGAAAGGTCTAAAGTATTTAACTCGGGTTAAGACCGGTTCGGTTGACAAATTAGAGAACCGAACCCAAAAAAAAGTTCAAGTCTTATTAAAACCGAAGAATTAGTGCTCCTAAATTTTAAAAAACTATCTTTTATATATATATAAATATATATATATAAATATATATATATATATATATTCTCTAATAAACTACTGCTTATTCGTAAATTTTAGTTTCATTAAACATAAATTTTATATTTATATTTAATATATCAATTATTATTTTTTAAATTTTTTTGATATGTTTAATGTTTTATTAGATATAAAATTTACTTTCAATAAATTAATTTAATTTGATAAACTAATTTAATTTTTGTTACTATGTCAAATATTTGTTAAACAAAAATTTATAATTTGAGAAATTTATTTGATGATTACACAATTGTTATTTATGATTTTTCTCGAAAAATATCAATTAAAACTCTTAATTTATAATTACATTTATAGATAAATTAATTTAAACTTTCAAATAAATTTTTGTTGTAATGCATTAGTTTTATAGGTGTATAACACTTTTTTAAATAAAAAAAATTAATATTAATTAAAAAATGTGAAAACCAAATAGAGAATAGTAATTTTTCATATTTTCATCTTCTCCTATTTTCTCCACTTAATTAACAATAATAATAATAATAATATTGTTAAGGATATATAGTAATAAATTATAGTTTACCATATATATTATATTTGATATTTTATTATAAGGCAAATATCTAATATTTGCTTTATTATCATAGGTATCTTTCCATTTATTGTTATTTCCATTTATTACTATTTCCATATCCTTGTAATTCATTTGATTATAAATAAGATAACTTTCACACCATTTAGGTGTGGTGGATTAATCAAACATTCACATGGTATCAGAGCCCTCTCGGTTTAACAACCCCGATCCTTTCTTTTCAATGGCTTTTGAATCCTCTAATCTTCTTCTCCACCACCCCTGCTGGTTTTGACGCCGCAGGGGCAGTCTTCATGGCTGCCGCAGGCGGAGCCGATTGATTACTCTTCGGCTCCACCCTATTGACCTCCAAATCACCTTTCGTCATACTCTGTACATACAACCTCACCTTTTCCAACCCAATCGGTTTTCCCCTTGGCCAATATAGTCTCTCTCATTTTCTTCCCAATCAACCTTCATCCTTCACATAAACCCTAACCTAAACCTATCAACCTTTTGCAGAGATTTACCTTCGGAATCTGGGTGCCGCACTGGCCTATTCGCCAACCAAGTTGCCGCCGCCCTTCCTGCCAAAATTGGCTTCTTCGCCCGATGAGGCGACTCTTCCGACTGCCCTTCTGGCCAAAATTGGCTCCTTCGCCCAATGTGGCGACTCTTCCGGCTTCAACATTGTCTTTGTCCCTTGCTCTAGGTTTCCCCTTCTACTTCTTGGGGTTAGAAATATTCTCACCAGAGCCAAGGCAGCATCGTCGCTAAGCGACAATCCCTCTTCATGGGTTAGACATATTCTCACCGAAGCCAAGGCAGCATTGCCGCTGAGCGGCGATCCCTCTGCAATTTTTGATGGCCAAGAACCGGGTTGTTAACTTCTTCAAGAAAAGTGTTTCTCAACCTCTTTGAATTTTTCAGATTCAAGCTTCACGTTCGTTTAAATCCGACGCTTAGCTTGCGGTGGGGTGTTAAGGATATTTAGTAATAAATTATAGTTTACCATATATATTATATTTGATATTTTATTATTTGCCTTATTATCATAGGTATCTTTCCATTTATTGTTATTTCCATTTATTACTATTTCCATATCCTTGTAATTTATTTGATTATAAATAAGATAACTTTCACACCATTTAGGTGTGGTGGATTAATCAAACATTCACATGGTATCAGAGCCCTCTCGGTTTAACAACCCCGATCCTTTCTTTTCAATGGCTTTTGAATCCTCTAATCTTCTTCTCCACCACCCCTGCTGGTTTTGACGCCGCAGGGGCAGTCTTCATGGCTGCCGTAGTCGGAGCCGATTGATTACTCTTCGGCTCCACCCTATTGACCTCCAAATCACCTTTCGTCATACTCTGTACATACAACCTCACCTTTTCCAACCCAATCGGTTTTCCCCTTGGCCAATATAGTCTCTCTCATTTTCTTCCCAATCAACTTTCATCCTTTACATAAACCCTAACCTAAACCTATCAACCTTTTGCAGAGATTTACCTTCGGAATCTGGATGCCGCACTGGCCTATTCGCCAACCAAGTTGCCGCCGCCATTCCTGCCAAAATTGGCTTCTTCGCCCGATGAGGCGACTCTTCCGACTGCCCTTCTCGCCAAAATTGGCTCCTTCGCCCAATGTGGCGACTCTTCCGGCTTCAACATTGTCTTTGTCCCTTGCTCTAGGTTTCCCCTTCTACTTTTTGGGGTTATAAATATTCTCACCAGAGCCAAGGCAGCATCGTCGCTCTAGGTTTCCCCTTCTACTTTTTGGGGTTATAAATATTCTCACCAGAGCCAAGGCAGCATCGTCGCTAAGCGACAATCCTTCTTCATGTTGGGGTTATAAATATTCTCACCAGAGCCAAGGCAGCATCGTCGCTAAGCGACAATCCTTCTTCATGGGTTAGACATATTCTCGCCGAAGCCAAGGCATCATCGCCGCTGAGCGGCGATCCCTCTGCAAATTTTTGATGGCCAAGAACCGGGTTGTTAGCATCTTCATGAAAAGTGTTTCTCAACCTCTTTGAATTTTTAGATTCAAGCTTCACGTTCGTTTAATCCGACGCTTAGCTTGCGGTGGGGTGTTAAGGATATATAGTAATAAATTATAGTTTACCATATATATTATATTTGATATTTTATTATAAGGCAAATATCTAATATTTGCTTTATTATCATAGGTATCTTTCCATTTATTGTTATTTCCATTTATTACTATTTCCATATCCTTGTAATTCATTTGATTATAAATAAGATAACTTTCACACCATTTAGGTGTGGTGGATTAATCAAACATTCACAAATATATTATGGATTTTTTTATTAAAAATTATTTAAATTATTTTGAGCCGATTTTAAATAAAACAAAGTGAAAATAGCTATTTAGTATTGACAAAAATATTATTTGAAATGGCTATTATATAAGGAGAATCTTCACCCCTTTCTACTCATTCACCAAGCTCTTTCCTTTCCTCCTATAACAGCCCTGATCCTCTCTGCAACTTTATTCATTACTAACACGCTATCGCTCATGATTTCTCGACTGTAGGCTATTATCCCGAGCACTTAGCATCCATGGATAAACCCATCGAGCTGTTTGAGTAATGGATGTCGAAGCACAGTAAAACGTATCAGAGCATTGAAGAGAAGCTCCATAGATTTGGGACATTCGTTGACAATTTGAAGCACATTGAAGAGACAAACAAGAACGGTTCTAGCTATTGGTTGGTGTTGAATGAAATTTGCAGACCTGAGCCATGAAGAGTACAAGAGTAAATATTTGGGACTGAACGTCGAGTTTCCGAGGAAGAGGTCAACTCATGGGTTTAGTTGCAGAGATGTGGAGGACTTGATCGAGTCGGTTGGTTGGAGAAGTAGAGAAGCTGTTACTCCAGTCAAGAACCAAGGCTCCTGTGGCCGCTTTCTTTTCCTATCTATTTATTCTACCTAGTTATGGTAAGAGTTCATAATTTCCCCACATGATAAAAGTATGATTGGAATGCAGGGAGTTTCCGGGCATTTTCGACCGTAGCAGCAGTGGAGAGTATAAACCAAACTGCTTGGTCGACCATGACCGAAGCTTCAACAATGGATGCTATGGCGGTTCGATGGATTACGCCTTCGAATACATAATGTCTAATTCTGGACTTCATAAGGGAGGGAGACTATCCATATATAATGGAGGAAGGAAGAAGTATCAGAGAAGGTAAATACTTAATCTTCTAAACACACATAAATGAAGCTTGCATTCCAAATATTTACTAAAAACAGTGTTACTATAATCCCTAGGAACGATTTGAGGTAGTAACCATTAGCGGTTACAAAGACGTGCCAGCAAACGATGAACAGTCTCTCCTAAAAGTATTGATCGAGTCATCAACCTATCATCGTAGCCATTGAGGCTTCTGGTCGAGATTTCCAATTCTATGAAGTGGTAAGAACGTAAAGCATCATACTTCCCTTGATAAACAATTCAAAACGGATGGTTTCACTTTGACCTAACTGTGAAATCATTGGGAACTTCACAGGGAATATTCACTGGTCGTTGTGGAACCGACATGGATCACGGCGTGACAGCCGTTGGGAATGGTTCATCACAGGGAACAAACTACATTACAGTAAAGAATTCATAAGGACCAAAAGCCGAAGGACTTTGCGGAATCAACCAAATGGCTTCGTATCTAACCAAAGAGAATTAATCCAATGAAGCGAACTCTCTATGTAGTTGGGAGATTTCAATAGAAACAGGAATTTCTTTGATAAATGAAATCACAACAGGAGAAGAGGAAATCATATTGAATATTTGACAAGACATTCCGTACCTTGCTAAAAAATCGATTCTTGTTTACCAACCACATATTGTCTAACCAAATCTAATTCTCTCTCTCGATATGTTCCTCAAAAAATCCGATTCGTGCGGTTCTTCCCCCAACTAAAGAAGAGATCTTGGCAGAATTGTCACATATGAATTTAAGCACAATTTCGCAAAGAAATAGCCCACTTGTTTCTCGAGAAGAGATTGGAAACCCTAAGCCATTGTACAAAGAAACAAAAAGAAAAACATCAAAAACCCCATCCAATTGGCATATGAATGGCAAGGCTTACTGGAGACAGGTTTTACCTAATATATAAAAATATATTCATATGCAGCAGACAAGGGAAATTACTCACTGCAGTATGTCAACAAATTTCCAGGTTTTTTTAATATTTAT